AAATGGTAACTTTTTTACAAAAAATTAACTTTTTCAACTTAACTTTTGAAAATGTTCCGGAAAGACTGACAATTTTATATATACCTTAAATTAAAGCTAATGTAATATACTTTAATTTGAAAAAAAAAAATTTGACCTCTGGACTTGTCTTCATGGTGAAAATGACTACCGTATGCAAAAATATGCTATTTTTGTGAAAAAATTCTTGATATTATATTTTACATTTTTTAACATTATGTTGCTATAACTTTTTAAAAAATGCATGAATCAACTTTATTCTTTAATGATAAATACTTTATATATACTTCTTTCATTCGACATACTTTTTTTTAAAATCGGACCATTTCCCTTTATACAGGGGGGGTGCAAACCTTTTAAAATGCGTATAGAAAGTAGAACTTTTTCAACTTAACTTTTGAAAATGTTCCGGAAAGACTGACACTTTTATATATATCTTAAATTAAAGCTTATGTAATATACTTTAATTTGAAAAAAAAAAATTTGACCTCTGGACTTGTCTTCGTGGTGAAAACGGACATCAAAGTTAAAGAAAAACGTACGATTTCCGTGAAAAAAATCTCGATTTTATATGTTATATTATTTAATTTATATTTTATATAACTTTTGGAAAAATGTATGGATCAATATTATTATTTTTTTATAATAAATATTTATATACCCCTTTCATCTGGCACGCTTTTTTTGTAAATCGGATCATACCCCTTTAACAAGGGGGGTCAAAACTTTAAACATGCGTATTGTTACTACGATATTTTCAATTTAATTTTTGAAAGTATTCCGGAAATACTGACACTTTTAAATATATCTTAAATTAAAGCTTATGTAATATACTTTAATGTGAAAAAAAAAAATTTGACCTCTGGATTTGTCTTCATGGTAAAAATGACTACCGTATGCAAAAATATGCTATTTTTGTGTTAAAATTCTGGGTTTTGTATTTTATTTTATTTTAAAATACCTGACAAGGGGAGTACAGATTTTCATAAATATTATATAAATTAAAATTGATATAGTATAGATAGTTAAACTTATTTAAATATGTTTGTTTCTTTTAAGTCGAGAAAAATAACTTTGAAATTTGAACTAGCTTAAATAGCCAATTTTTCAACCGCCGGAAGCAACGTACGGTTGCCGAGTTGGTAAAATTTATGTTTTACACGCTTGGGGTACGAGGTTCCAACCCGCATATGGCAATGAATTTTTTGCATTTTTTCTTAATTCTTTTTAAGTTAGTATAAATTTTAACTCGTTTGATTTTTATCACATTTAGATTCAATAACTTCAATAAAGATCAAGGATCCCATCACTTTAGTCGCCCCTTGCAAGAAGAAATTTCTTATTCGTATTAAAATTATTTTACTATATTTTAAGTTTTCGCTTCGATGCAAAGCCGAGAAGATATTTTTTTGTGACTATCATTTATTTTCTCTGCTCTAACTTGACCTACTTTTTTCAACAATACGTCAAATTACTACAATTCGTATCTAGTTGAAGATATTACTCTCAAAAATTGAAAAAAAAATTCTAATTTATCAATTAAACAGTTAGTTATTACATCGTCTCCATAAAGACAATTAAAATCATTAATTTCTAATGTTTTCAAAATATTTATTAACGAATGAAGTTTGATATGATAGGTTTCAACTACAAAATTAAATCATTTTACTTTGTAATTTAATAATTTTATTACTCTGTTTGTGTGTGCTACTATTAGACTATAATATTCAAATTTTTTTCTAACGTGTTGCTATATAAATCATTTCTAAAAAAAATGATTGTTTTTTCTCCTGAATTAACAATTGATTTTTACAAATATAATCAAATTTTATAATAAACTCAATTGAGTAAATCTTTTTAACAACTTTGTTTTGATTGGTACATTTAGTTAAAGTAAATCATTAAAATTAATTAAGTTCTCAATATTTCAATTATAGAATCTTTTCAACAAACAACAAAAGTTCCTAGGAAATTATTACTATTACTTCTATTTAAGTTATCTATTACCATAAAAATGCAAAAAAATATTGAGCTTTTCTGATAAATTTACAATAAATAGTAATTATAAAACTTTCTGACTGCATATTGATCTTAACGATACAATTTTTTTAATTGTCATAAAATTTTCTATTTAATTATGTCAATGTCAAACTTACCAATTGAGCTAAAAGTTATGGTAAAATAAATTTTTTTTTTTTTTTATAAACATTTACAACAATCAACTTTAAACGATTAACAAAATTGGTTAAATATGTCATTTTCCTTATTTTTAACTTATTAATAATCAAATTAATATTAAATATTATATCAAATCAGTATTAATTTAAAACAATTTTTTTTGTTCTTAATTATTTTTTTTTATATGTAAAAACTATTTTTTAATAATATTAAAACTTAGAAGTTATAGAAAAAGTCTAATTGCACATTTTAAAACATCGCGAAAAGTTGATTTAGAATAGTATATTTTTGTTTCTGATGGAAGTTCCTTGTAGTCCAGTGTATAAAACTTATAACTTTGTTAATTGTTATAACTTTATCAAAAATGACCAAATCAGTATATTTTTTTTTATTTAGATGCATGTCTTTATCTATCATTTGGTTTTTTTTATAAATCTAACCCTTTACCTGCCCACAAGAGGGATTCAAAATATTAACTTTTTTTTTTTTAGTTAAAGTAAATCATTAAAATTAATTCAGTTCTGGATATTTCAATAGTAGAATCTTTTTAAATATCAAAAATTACTTAGAAATGATTACTATGATTTCTATTTAAGTGTTCTATTACGATAAAAATGCAAAAAATAATGAGTTTTTCTGATAAATTTACAATAAATAATAATTATAAAACTTTCTGACTGCATATTAATCTTAAAAATAACATTGTTTTAATTCTCATAAAATTTTCTATTTAATGATTCATTCTAGTCAACGAAGGAGTAATTTTGCAGAATAGCAGAAAAAATTCCCAACAAACTTTTTTTTTTTTTGTTTTAATTAGGCAATTGGTGGATTATTCCAAAAGCAACATCAACTCTTATTTCTTTAATTATATCATGATTAGTAGTTCTTTGATTTTAAAATATAATATTTGAATATATACTAATTATAATTATTAAATTTAGTATGAAATTGATATTTAATATTGTAATTTAAACGGAGAAATTATAAAAATAATAAAGAAGTTATATTTTGCTTTACTTTTACGTGTATAAAAATTTAAAGGGCTTGATACAATAATTTTCAATAAAAACTGTTTGTTACTATAAAAAAATGCACTGGACTACAAGGAACTTTCATCAGAAGCAAAAATATACTTTTCTAAATCAACTTTTCGCGTTGTTTTCAAATCTGCAAGTAGACTATTTCTATCACTTCTAATTTTTTATATTATTACTAATTATATATATAAAATAATAATTAAAAGAAAAAAAAATTTGTTTTCAAATTATTACTGATTTGATTTTTAATATGTTAAAAATAATCAGTCCAAATTTTCAATTTTAACCTATTTTTTTGGTTCTTTAAAGTTGATGAAAAATTTTTGATAAAGATTTATGAAAGTTTATAGTAAAATAAATTGAATATATTACCATAACTTTTAGCTCAATTACAAGTTTAAAATTGACATCTAGGCCAGTCAACAAAGGAAAAATTGCGGAAAAAATTTTGTTTTTTTAAAAGTTGAATTAAAATATGTATAATGACATACTAATAGTCCTCAAGATTGGAATTGAGCTTTTTTTTTAAATCCTCGCAAAAGTTCAAAAATATGAGCTTTCTTAATTTTCTCAAAAAAAAATATTTAACTTACAAAAAAAAGTTTCGCACAAAAGTTGTTTAAAAGACAATTATAAATAAAAATATAATCTTATATTTTTTCATTTAAACAAATATTTTTCGAGTTACATTACATTTAATATGAGTAATAAAATTTATATTCCATTTTTTTCATTTTACGGTTACTTTTTATCATGTTATACTTACATTAGACACAATGTTATAAATGCATATGTGTGTATGTGTGAGTTTATTTATTTATTGTATCATTAAAGTGTAGTGTATATTGAGATACAACCGATAGAGTAGGTAATTGATTTGACGCTATATTATTTAAACCCAACTAAACGCTAAATTGTACATTCCGAAATAACAATCATATTATGTCAATTGCCACCGGAATATCTGGTAATATTTTTCTTTTTCTTTGCCTTAATCCCAACTACTTGGGGTCGGGCACCCTTATCCTAAGATTCCACTTGACACGATCTCCCACATCTTCTACGCTCACATCAGCTGTCCTCAAATCGCATTCAATAGCATCCCTCCATCTCTTTTTTGGTCTTCCTCTATCTCTTCTTCCTTCAACATTCATTTCTATAACTGTTCTTACAGCTTTCGATTCTTCTTTCCTCATACCATGACTAAACAATCTAAGTCTATTTTCTGTCATCTTATCCACGATTGACGCAACACCTATACTTCCTCTTATATGCTCGTTCCTTATCCTATCTTCTCTAGTCACTCCACTCATCCAACTAAGCATTCTCATCTCTGCTACACTTATTCTCTGCTCTACTTTCTTATCAACCGCCCAACACTATTAACCATACATCATAGCTGGCCTCACAATTTCATACTAAATTTAAAAACTATAATTAGTATTTATTCATATATTATATTTTAAAATCAAAGAACTACTAATCAGGATATAATTAAAGAAATAAGAGTTCATGTTGCTTTTAAAATATTTCACCAATTTCTCTAAAGGAAACACTATCTACAGATTTGCATCGAAGCGTTTCTTATGATAGTGATTTTAATCACTGTCAGATATCATCTATACTTATCTCATCTATGCCACGTCTATACTGTGCCTCGACCCCACTGTGCTACCGTTTTTTTTTTATATGAATACAGTAATTTTAATCCAGTTTTTGAAACTTTAATGAAAATAATGATATTTAAGATAATTTTTTTTTTCATTTATTTTTAATAAATATACTTTACACAATAAAAAGAATAAAGAAGATTTTCAAAAATTTTAAATAAATATTTTAAATTATATCATTTTAGATAAAATTCTAATAGTGATTTCACTATATTAAGCGTGTACTAATATGTGTACTGAAATTATATGTGAAAACATTTGCACCTATGAAGCCACCATAATTTTCTATTCCTTTAAAATATATTCCCACGCCAGATAATGGTATAGCAGGAAATGGTTCCACAGTTTGTTTGTCGATAAAAGGCAATGTTGTCTGAGCAACGTCACGTGTGATTGAAGAATGTGTAAATTTAACGTACTTGTGAGCAGTCATATCTGGTACAGAGGGAATTTTTAGTTTTGTTGGCAAATCTGAATTATCAATTTTAATTTCCGTTCTGTAAAATATATAAATAAATAAAATTAATTAAGTACACAAGCTTTTTTAAAATTGCTTGGAGAAATATAATATAATTTTACCGTTCTACGTTAGAAAAATTAGCGTCCTCATTTCCAACCCAATAACTTTTGATATTAGGTTGAATTAGGTTTCCAGAGGAAAAATCAAAAGGTGTAACCCGGATTTCAATACTTATATGTGTTCCAATACTCCTAAATTTAACTCCTAAGTAAAGACACAACATATATAATATAAGTACTATGTATATTCCTGCAGGGGGATCCGTAAGGATCACGGGATTAACAACCCCGTGAACTATAATTAATTTAGTGGGGATGGCACACGTACCACTGCTCTTAGAGGTCATAACTTTGGTTAGTTCGGACCGGTAGGCCTGGGCATACCTGCTTGCTAACAGCGAATAAACCCCCCTAACTCAGTCATACAAAGTGAAAGGGTTGCTAACTTGTCACAGGGTAGTTAGCCGAAAGGTAAAGTGATCATCGGGATCCTCTATGGCACATTGCGCACCATAGAGTATACAGCCAGTGAACCTACTTTTGTTATCAGGAACAGACAGGAAATCATGGATCTGACAGTTTTCTCAAAAGAGTTACTTCAAGAAATAAAAGGATGGAAAGTGTCCTCCGAACCTTTTCTTTCTAATCATAGACACATACGATTCAATTTGGAAATTAACAAAGTTGAGACGAGGACCCGAATAGAACAAACTGGGACAACTACAGTGCAGATCTTTCTCGTAACCTGAATAACCTACAGTTTAGATTGGGGTCAAGACAGAATACTGAAAGGGCTGTAAATATACTACAGGACTCCACTGTCTTGGCTTACAAAGAAAACTGTCCTTTAATAGAAAGGAAAGGTACAAGACAGCGTATAACTTGATGGAATGCTAACCTGTCTAAGAGTTCACGTAAGGTCTTAAATAAAGCAATGAAATCAGGTTTGGAACAACACTGGGAATCCTATAAGGACGCCCAAAGAAACTACAAACCTGCATTGAAAAAGTCCATAAGAGAAAGCTGGAAGAAGTTCTGTGGGGATATACAACAACTCCCTATAGCAACTAGACTTCTGCGATCACTAAGGAATGGACCAAACAAAACTTTCGAGGCAATACTACTGCCAGACGGAATGTTCACCAATAATGATAATGAAACATTATTACATTTGATAAACACGCATTTTCCTGACTCTGAAATTAACTACAGAGAACAGGAACATGATGCACAGGACAAACGTGTGACCTGTACTGATTGGAAACAAACCAGCAAAGTGATAACCCCAAGTGGAATAAGATGGGCAATAAAAGCCTTTGGCAGTTTAAAACTGCAGGCTGTGACGAAATTTTCTCTGCACTTCAGCAAGAAGGGTTAGAGATAATCGTCTCCCATCTCTGCAAAATATTTAGGGCATGCCTTGCCTATGGTTATCAACCAGAAAGCTAGCGAAAGGTCGGAGTGGTGTTTATACTTAAACCTAACCGGACTAACTATTATGAAGCAAAATCCTACAGGCCAATAAGTCTTACTTCATTTCTTATTAAGACTATGGAGATACTTATTGATAGGTACATCAAGGATAGGTATAATGTAATAACACTTCGGTGATACAACTAAGGTGAGTAAACCTAATCATGATAATTCGGTAGTAGGTGCGCACAATGATCAACAAGTCTGAGTGCATTGGCATTATGTTAGATAAAAACTAATATTATGTATATACTTTATACTATAATATAGTATGATATGGGTATACTACATATATAATATATAATTATTGTATATTTAAATTAATTTAGATCAGATTAAAACTGTTAAATTTTGTCATTTTTAGCGAACTTTTAGCATAGTAATCATTGAATGCTTCAATATAATTTGAAACTTGCTAGTGATTCACATAATTAGAATATAATGCATCAATGCTATTATCCATAAATTAAATTAAATTAAAACAATTAGTTTTGTGATGCTGTGCGTTTTAGCTTCGATGCGATGCTGAAAAGGTATTAAATTTACTATGATGGATTTCCTTTTATATCTGTCACCACTTTTTCTCAGATCTCACCGGACTGATTTCCTTCAAAAATACATCAAAAGATCACAAATCGTATCTGTTAGCTCGAGTCATTATATAATATTGTATCTTAATCATTGTTTATCTAGCCGGCAATGTGTCTATTTTAGCATAGGATTATTCAATGTACATTCCACCGCTGAACCATCAGTAACGCGCTCATAGTCACAATTGTATTTAAATATTTTATTTAAGTTTTAATTATACATAAAAATAAGGAACAAATATTTTGTAAAAATGATTCATTCTTGTTTACATTTAATGTTTATTACATTAATCTCAAAATTAAAAAATATCAAACAAATTATTCATAAGTGAGCGTTCGATTTATTACCAATAATAATCCCACTTCAAAACAGTATCTAATTGAAGACAATAAAAATAGAAAAAAATTTTTTCGTTCCCTGTAAATGGAGAAAATCCCCTAAAAAATTACAATTTTAAAAATCAGTAAATTTCAACCTTTTTTTTTCTTAAAACTGCCATAACTTTTTTTAAAAATGAACAAATTAAAATAATTTTTTTTTATATATATAGAAACTTTAGATATTTCTCTTTCATTTGATATAAATTATTTGATAACCAGGTTGTTTACCTGCCCACAGGAGGGGTTTCAAAATGACAACTTTTCACAAAAAATTAACATTTGAAAATGTTCCGGAAATAATGATACTTTTATACATATCTGAAATTAATGATTCTTCTAGATTAAAAATGTTATTTCACTATAAAGGAAAAATAACAATATCATCTGGTTTATAGTAATTATAATTTTTTGGACATCCCCTTTAATAAGAAAATTAAAATGTGTTACGGTAACCACCGGTCGTTTACCCAGAGACAATAATTTCTTTGTTGTTAATATCAAAATATATTAATAATATAATAAATTACATATATATACAGGGTGGCCCACCACTCACTGACAACTTAAATAACTTTTGATCCAGTTAATATTTTTAGCTGATTTTTTTTTTAAATATTAGTTAGACGTTAGGTCTATAGCTATATCTCAATAATTAATTTTTTTACATTTTATTAAAAATATTAATTATTTTAAAATTTTAAATAAAAAGTAAAAAAAAAATCTAAGATAGCTATTTTGTAGAGTAGAATTTAAGAAAAATTTTAGTAAAAAAATATCTTATTAATATTCAGTAGTAAATATTCTGTAGCGTTTTGAAGTTTGTGAAAATTTGAATTTTCATGTATTATTTTACGGTATTAAACATTGAAATACGTATTGAGAAAAGGACAGAAGAAAACGCTATCTTTTCATGATTACTGTGTATACATATGATGATAATGTGTATACATTACAAACTTGGCATTAATACCATGATAAGAAATTAGATAAGGCAATTATTACTTATCACTCTCATTCAAAAGTATATTGAAAAGATAGCGTTTTCTTCTGTCCTTTTCTCAATACGTATTTCAATGTTTAATACCGTAAAATAGTACATGAAAATTCAAATTTTCACAAACTTCAAAACGCTACAGAATATTTACTACTGAATATTAATAAGATATTTTTTTACTAAAATTTTTCTTAAATTCTACTCTACAAAATAGCTATCTTAGATTTTTTTTTTACATTTTATTTAAAATTTAAAAATAATTAATATTTTTAATAAAATGTAAAAAAATTAATTATTGAGATTTAGCTATAGACCTAACGTATAACTATTATTTAAAAAAAAAATCAACTAAAAATATTAACTGGATCAAAAGTTATTTAAGTTGTCAGTGAGTGGTGGGCCACCCTGTATATGTTACAATTAGATGGGCGTCCCCGTATTTAGTTAATATTTTACAGGCACTTTTTAAAATTTATATATATATTTACAAGAATAATCTAAGCCGATCCGACCTGTTGTCTTCTGCTCAGCACGTCCGTGACTCCGCTAACAGATGACAACCGCAATAAAAACACGCAGTTTTATATCATGAGATCCGATAATGGATAATAATCAGAGTGATTGTTAAAAACCATTAGTCTTTCTAATTGCACATTATTACTTGATGGCAAAAAACAGCCGAAATTAAACAATTTTCAAACCGTCTAATATTTTATCTGTTCGTTCACCGAAACTTTATTAAGAGAAACGGAGAGGATTCAACAACAAGCAACAACACAATTACCGCACGTAAAAAATCTCGCCAAAAGGTAAAAAAGGCGAGAGAATAAAACCAAAAATAACCGAAATATATCCCGTCGAAGTAACAACTGGTTTTTGGCAAGCACTGTCACTAATCGATGACGCAACAGGTTGGTGGTGTAAACGGCTGATGAGAACCAATTGTCTCCACCACGCCTTGTCGCCTGGCTCGAACAAAATGAATTTTCCTAAAATATGGCGCTAATATCTTTGTTTAAGCACAATTTGTGATATTTCGACGTTAGTTAACTAAAATCGGTTCAGTAAGAGCAGAGTATATACACAGATACAAATAGAGACACGACCTTTATTACTATATCTTGTTAACCTAATCCGCTAGTGATAAACTAAAAATATATAACTATCGTTTTTTTCTTATACTTTTCATTTAGTTTGATAGTTCACAAAAAATAATCTGAAATAAATTATTAAAATAAAGAATGCATTACCTGTGACAACTGTAGTTTTTGGCGCCATAACATTATCAATATCTATAGTACGAGAAAAGTATGATAATTTGAAAAAATCAACACCTTCTTGAGGTAAACTATTATTATAGATAAATTCTGGCCTCAGTAAAGTAACCCAACTCCTAGAAGATTCATTAATGTAACCACGAGGACCTAGTATACCTTCTTGTACTTGTAAATGAAAAATATTATTTACTTTATTGAACTTAACTCCTGTGACTATCCTATATTAGTATAAGTTAAAATAATATCATTAAGAAATGTACAATTATAGTAACACTAAAACTACACAAATTCTATTGACTAATTTTAATTGAAAATAATTACTTATTTTGAGAAATATCAGATAATGAAGGTTGTAGACTGAAATATTGATCAGAAGCTGTGTCAGTTGAATAACATATGCATAGACAATAAGAACAGTGCCACACCAACCATCTCCACCAACTATTCACTTTACTATATGTACCATTACAATTTATTGACCTATCGCCCAATACAGTACCTTTTTTGTATGTTATGTATTCATATCTCCTACTACTTCCAAACGGCTTAGCGAATATAAAAAGATTACAAACATTCAAATCGTGTCTAATTCATAGATCTCATTATATTAAATACTTTTGGTACCTACCGATTGACAAACATTCATGTCAGACTCAATATACTGACAATTCAAAAGCTCTCCATTACACGAATGTTGTTTTGCACAAAACTGATTTGAAGAACATCTATAAACTGGACTATGTTCATAAAATGCACAATTTTGTTTACAACTATGTTGAGGACTCATATGAACTTCATTTTCAATAAACCCCTGATAAAATATTACTTACTTAAAATATTATTTCAAAATATATGAATTTTCTATTCTATTATTGGACAAAATTTTAAAGTAGGAAAAGTATTTTTTATCATTTGATGGATACATATTTTATGTCTAACCATAAATAAAAAAAAATTGGTCAAGTGAGAGCTCAGAAAAATGAGCGATAAACACAAAAAAATAAAAAAACCCAGCACAGGGGGGTCGCGGCACAGTGGTGACGTGGTATAGATGGATCAAGTATAATGATATCTGACAGTGATTAAAATCACTATCAAAAAAAACGCTTCGATGCAAATCTTTAGATACTGTTTAATTTTAAAAAATTGCTGGACTATTCCAAAAGCTACATGATCTGCTAGTTCATTATTAATATCCTAATTAAGATAAAGTATGTAGAATGAAAAAGGGATTATTAAAAAATATTATTTCTCATAAAAAAATAATGTTGATCCATACACTTTTCAATATGTCATAGCATTATAAAGTTAAAAATGTAAAAATTAAAGTCGAGAATTTTCACACAATAATAGCATTTGGTAGCCATTTTCACCGTGAAGATAAAATAAAGTCCGAAATTTTTTTTTCGCATAATAAAGTAAATTACATTAGCTTTAATTTAAGATATATATAAAAGTGTCAGACTTTCCGGAACACTTTCAAAATTTAAGTTGAAAAAGTTCTACTTTCTACATGCATTTTTTAAATTTGAACCCCCCTCGTATATAGGGAAATGGTCCGATTTAAAAAAACAGTATGTCAAATGAAAGATGTATATAAATACTACTCC